TATGGAAACCTGGTGCCTCTGTGAGGTGTGCTCAGCATGACCTGCCCTCCCATTCTCATCAGACTGAACATTCCTGAGGAATTGTTTCAGTATAATTAGGAATATTCCTTCTCCAATGGCACTTGGGATCCCTTTGAGTCTGGCTGCCTGAGTTAGTAGAAGGCAATGCACAGTATTGTCTAGGGGTGAAGAAGAGGCAGCCACTAAGCCCTTTTTTTGAAGTGTTCATTGTTGTTGCTCACCTACCATGGACAATGGGCAGTCTATACAATGTTTGTATAGGAAAATCTTTATGGACAATGCTAAAGCAATGACTGCCACTTTGGCTCACTTTCTCACTGTGATGCTTAAGTCCTGCTATAGCCAGGATTGCAGGATCAGCAAGGATCAAAAGATGAATCTCCACCAAGTGCAATAAAGAATATAGGGATAGAGCAAGCAGCCAGCCTTGGCCTGAAAGAACAGGAATGCTGGAGCTCCTGTGAGAATGCTTTCATTTCCAATTGGGTGCAGAAGTTGGTATTTCCTGGGGACAACTTGCAAGTCCCCCACTCAGGGAAACAGTATGAGCTGACTTGTGTTTCTGTTGACATTTATAGATCTCTGAGGAATGGTCTAAGGGAGTCTTTGTGGTGAAACAAAGTGATGAGGATATTCACACTGCCAACGAACGCAGACTGAAGGTTTGGGTCCTGTAACCTGTTGTTCCCCTCCCTCTCTATGTAGAGCTGCTGACATTAAGCATATGTGCCTCTGTCCCCAACACAGTGAAATTCCTCAACACCCTGTGATACTGACATACTAGGTGCACAGCCAGCAGTGTCCAGGACCCCTTTTCTGTGGAAAAGATGCTGTACAAGCCTAGAATCCAAACTTCCTCTTCCCCAGAGGAGAACACATAGCTACTTACAGGATCCTAGAGCTAGGAGGAGATCTGCTCTTGCAGGAATTCTTTTGGTTAGAATACAGCGACACTGACAGAAGTTATTCTCTTGTCCTCAGGAGCTGATTGGGGATATAGCTGGAAAGCTGCACACTGGAAGAAGCAGGAATGATCAGGTATGTATAGAACTATTTGTTTTTCTCCTCCTATATTACTCCCACACCTCAGGTCCTTACCAAGCTTCTTCCTGTCATCCCTTGCCTGCAATGACAATCTGCAGCATGTGCTGCTATGGCTTTAAGCTAGTGATGCTGCAGTGATTCATCATCACAGGGAAGTGGTTTCTGCAGGATTGCTGCCCTTGGAAAGCCCACAGAATCCATTAATTTACTGGCTGGGTGACATGCATCTTTTGGGATCAGCCTTTTGCTAATGACACACTTTGGGGAATACTGTGGGGGATATTTGGAGAATAGTGGAGGATATTCCATCCCAAGCTGCCTATACCTGAGAAGTCCACTGAAAAGAATGAGCTTTGGAAGGCAGTATACAGTAACTTTCATGAATAGGAGACATGGGGCATATCTGCTAAAATGTCCTTTCACATCACATAGAATGAAGAGTTGGTAGCCTGCCTTGCCTTTCAGCTGAGGTGTATCTGGTCACTAAGCTTGTCACATTCTCCTTTATCTCATTGTGGCCAATCTTGTCCAGGTTGTGACTGACCTGAAGCTGCTCCTGAAGAGTTCCATCTCTGCAATCTCCACTCACTTGCTGCAGCTCATCCAGTCCTTGGTGGAGCGCGCTGCTACGTAAGTCCTTTCCCAAGTCCATGGTCTTAATGCTCCTGAGACAGGAGACTTCTAGGCTTGCTCTTTGACTGATATCAATCAGGGCAGCATCAAGGCCTTCTGCAGAGGATGTCGAAGTGAGACAGTATGTGATAGTCCAGGGAAAGACAATGGGCCCTCTTTCTTCACAGCCTGCTTCAGGGAGACATTCCTCTTCCCCTAATGTATTATGGAGATATAAGAAGAGGAAGGCATAGCACAACACAGGCTAAATATGTTCTCATGACCTTGCCACAAAACAACCTGCAACTGCAACTCTATGCCAACAGTTGCTGCTCACCCCTTCCTCTCTTTCCATATGCAGAGAAATTGATGTTATCATGCCTGGCTACACCCACCTGCAGAAAGCTCTGCCCATCAGATGGAGCCAGTTCCTGCTCAGGTAAGCACCTTTCACACTCAGCTCTAGGAAGGGAAGCTTTCTCCATTCTTGGAGCCCTGTACAGTTGGAGCCTAGAAGTGCATCATTCTCTGATGGGGCAGCTGGGGGAGACACAGCAGAGCTAACCCTGAAAGCTGCCACAAGCACTCCTCAGTCCAGTGCTACTTGGCTCTTAACAGCCAAGGACCTGAACACTGCCTGTGTGCTGGAGACTGCCTCTCAGCATGCCCCACCCTTTGGCCATTCTTTAGCTTCAGCTTTCTCTCATGTCCCCTCCTAGCCACGCTGTTGCACTGATTCGTGACTCTGAGCGCCTGGGTGAGGTGAAGAAAAGGATGAACGTCTTGCCTCTGGGAAGGTAATGTGTACTTTCTGTGTAACCCCTGGGCATCACTTTGCTCTATTAAATGACCAAGAGGCAGACCATTACATCCTCTGAACCACTGGTGTTTGTTTGCTACACGCACTGCAGCTTCAAGATCTCAAGCCTTGCTTCATGCACCAAAGAAAAGTGCAATGACTGACATACCCACCAAACAGATGCTCTTCTCCCTTCTCTTTGAAATCAAGAAGTACAAGGCTTTCATCATGCAAATCTTTTTCTTTGGAAGAGAACTCCTGGCTTGGTCTAGAGTTCAGTTTGCTGAGCCTCAGACCATGCTACAGGGAGCAGTTTGATGCCAGATTCTTTTGAGGAGAGAAAGAGATGTCATCCCTCGTTGCTGGAGATCAGTTTTTGTTGCACTGTGCAGGATATCATGCATGACTTCCGTTTCCTTTTTCCCTGGCAGCGGTGCTCTGGCTGGGAACCCACTGGAAATTGATAGAGAGCTTCTGCGTAGTGGTAAATGTCTCCCTAACTGAGCAGCACGGGTCTGATTACAATATCTGGGAATTAGAGAAACACTGACACACTGTCACAGTGCTATTTTGAGATACACTGCAGCACCTCAACATGGGGAAGGAGGGTAATAAATACAAAAACAGAATAATTTCTGATGACCAGGAACACAGGTTGCAGGCAGCTCCCAAGGAATTGGTAAGCAATAAGACTTCTTACCAAATTAAGAAAGCACATGCCTGTATGCTGGGATAATAAATTGAACCACTTCTGGTACACACTGGCAACCTGGGACAAGTAACAATGCCTCAACACACCTTATTTGTGTTCCTTGGACTACTAAAGGGCTCACAAACACCTGCTGGGGCAGACTTCAAGTTAGGCTAAACATGATCTCTCCTGTCCACCACTTCTCTTACAGAACTGGACTTTGCATGCATCAGCCTGAACAGCATGGATGCCATCAGTGAGAGAGACTTTGTGGGTAAGTACAACTCCACCATTCCTCCCTCCCCCACATTAGAAGCAGACACCGGACACCTTCCCAGTTAACATCATTTAACAAGGAAGCTGAAATCCCACACTGGGAAGTAACCAAACAGAAAACCTTTGTACATTTCTAAGCTCCAGTCAGGGCTCCCTGGTTTGTCAAACACAAACAAACGCCCTTTTCACTTCTTGCTTTTCTACCTTTTCTGCAGTGGAATTACTCTTTGTTGCCACTCTGCTGATGATCCACCTTAGCAAGCTGGCCGAAGATCTCATCATCTTCAGCACCACTGAATTTGGCTTTGTGACTCTCTCTGATGCCTACAGGTAGGTGCCTGGTCATTGGGCAAAGAGCCACTTCCCTCAGTCTCTCCACTTCTCTTATCCCTTCCTGAGACAATGGGGAAGTGGATGTCCCTGCTGCACAAGACTGACAGATAAATCAACACTCCAGAGGATGAAAAGCCTGAAAGAAAGGCAGCCTTAAGGTGAAAATTCCTCATTAAGGATTAGTGATTCTAATTCTGGCAACTCAACCACATCTCCATTCACTGATCACTCCTCCCCAGCTACTGCTGGCAGAAATATGCTGTAAGAGAACAGGCACAGAAAACTTCCTTCTCTGCTGGGAATTCCTGCCAAAGCCCTTCCCAGAACAGCCCGGCTTTGCAATACTAACACACTTCCTGTCTCTCAATGCAGCACAGCCGCTGCCCTGCCTCTCTGAGGGCACAGAAAAACAAGTCCTGCCTGCTCTTGCCTTCTGTGCAACTGGGCCTTGAAGAGAAGCCTCTGTTTTGTCTCTTCTGAGAGGCAGCACCGGGTGGTAGCTCCAGACAGGACTGCAAAACCAAAGATTTTTCTTTGGGAAACATGAGAAACTCTGTGCACCCACTTCACTGCTTTCCTACACTGAGACAGGAGTCCAGTTAAGGGGGGTACCAATCACTTTTGCAGGGCTGGGCCAGCGTGCTGCATGTTTTAGTCTGCATCTGCACAGACTGGGGTCTTGCTCACCATTACACTCCCAACACTTTTCTTCCAGCACTGGCAGCAGCCTGTTGCCTCAGAAGAAGAATCCTGATAGCCTGGAACTGATCCGCAGCAAAGCTGGTCGTGTGTTTGGACGGGTGAGCCTGTTAAAGAAAGAAGAGGGGCAGGGAAACTGCTCATATTGGGGCTGAAGAAGCTTCCTTCTTCATGCCTCTGTGTAAAAATTGAAATTATGCTGGGAGTAGGCTGTGAATCTCTGCTGGGGCAATGTGCTTGTCTTCCTGTAACTAACTGCCATACCTGTTTCTCTCTGCAGTTGGCTGCAATTCTCATGGTTCTGAAAGGAATTCCAAGCACCTTCAGCAAGGATCTGCAGGTAAAGCAGACGTTAGCTTCCACTTCAGTTCTTTGAGGAGACTGTTGTCTCCTGCTCTAGAGAAGTCTTTTGCACTATATTTCTTGCACAAGTACAGCTTGTGTGCAAGATGATAAAACTGCGGCTGCATCAGGTCACCTAACAGCAATTTCCATCCATGCTCTCATGCAGGAGGACAAGGAAGCTGTCCTTGATGTTGTGGACACTCTGACTGCTGTGCTCCAGGTTGCCACCGGAGTGATTTCTACCCTCCAGGTAAGGCTTCAGCTTCTCATTACTGAACGTGGTTGGAGATCACATTTTAAGTGCAATACAGATGCAAGAGCTCTAGTCTGGTCCTAACATGAAGACTTGCTCACTCTTACTGCTTGTTAGTGCTCCCACCACAGGCAGCTCAGGTACACTCGAGCAGAATGTCCTTGAGAGCCTGGTCCCTCCTAGATGAAGTCCATTCTTTGAGACCACTAAAGGTTCCCTAAAGAGCAGCTGACAGTAATATCTCTCTCTGCAGATCAATAAGGAGAACATGGAGAAGGCTCTGACCCCTGAGTTGCTGTCTACTGATCTGGCTCTCTACTTGGTTCGTAAAGGAGTAAGTATCAGAGGAAGGCTTGGAGCTCTGACTTCTTTAGATTCAGAACACTGCTCAGTGAGGGCCTGAGATGAGGCCTTCTGTTCTGTCCCCAGGTGATGGTCAGTGTGGGTCAACTACTGCATGTTTAGATTTCATTGTTATAAGGAAAAACAAACCAATAAAAATGAGAGAACATCCATTCTTGACTGAGTCTGCACTGGACTATCATCTCCTTCTCATTGCAGATGCCATTCAGACAAGCTCACGCTGCTTCTGGGAAGGCCGTCCACCTTGCTGAGACAAAAGGCATTGCTATCAATAAACTCAATTTAGAGGACCTGAAGAGCATCAGGTTTGTATCACTGTTACTTTGCCATAAATCCCCTCAAAAGGCAGGTGTCAGTCTGGCTTAGTACAGGCTTCTTTATGGTGCCCTTCCATGAACAATTCAGTCCTGACTGCACCCCAAAATTGTCATGGCCTAAATATCACCATTGCTACTGCCAAACCTGTATCAGTTGAAGGAGCACAATATCACTACCATTGAACAATGCAGGGCATGGGCCACAGGTACTGGGAGGGTATGGAGAAATTCACGCATTGACCTGGAGGCACCAGCACTGTAGAAGAATTTGGCTTCAGACTTCCTTCCTCCCTCTGCCCTTGCAGCTGTGTCTTTGGTATGTCAGGAACTGCTCCTGTCAGGCACTACAAGTACAGAAGCAGAGCTTCATGATGCTTTTTCTGTTGGAAAAAGGCTCAGCCTCTACTTCCTTATTTTCTCCACAGGCAATGAGCATGGAAAACCATCAAGCAGTGCCCCTCATTCCCCACTGATAGCTCTTCTCTTTGCCTCCCCAGCCCTCTGTTTGCCAGCGATGTCTCCCAGGTCTTCAGCGTTGTCAACAGCGTGGAGCAGTACACTGCCGTGGGCGGCACTGCCAAGAGCAGCGTGACTGCCCAGATCGAGCAGCTGAGGGAGCTGCTGAAGAAGCAGAAGGAGCAAGCTTAGAGTGTGGGGACAAATCCCGTGGCTGCAGCGTTGTGCTTATCACACTAATCCAGATTTAATAAACACTGTGGTGTATTGTAGTTCACTGAAACTCCTGTGTTGCGTATTGCTTTCAAGGGACAAAATTGGGCTTCTTCAGCCCTTCTGAGGCTGGTCAGTGGTGTGAATGAACTCTCTCCTTCCTGGCAAAGGAACTGTTATGAGGGGACAAACTCTGCTGGGCAGCAGGAGGGCAGTAGAAGGGTGCTTCTACATCAGGAGACCTGCAAATGATGGGAGCAGTTGGACACAGCACAGGGCTGGACACAGCTGTGCCACAGCAAGCTGTACAACATGCTGAGGGAAGATTGGGGTGTCTGTAGGGAAAGACACATGGTAGTATATCTGTAACACATGCCACATGTCCAGCCCTCATTGAATTCCTGCTAGGACTATGTTTCCCAGCCAGCTAGGCTGCCTGCCTTCTGGCAGGGAAAAATTTCCTCACCAGTTGGCAGTCAAACATGCTTAGTCTTAAGCAGAACGTGGTCAGCAGGACAGCCCACAGCTCCTCCTCATTCATCATTAAACCACCTTCAGCTCTGTTTACTCCAAAGAACAGGAGTTGCATTGCTTCCAGGAAAGCTCTTTTTTCTGTGTGACCCAGGCCAAGCTAGCTGGGGGCAGAGTACTTGAAAATAAGCTGGCATTTCTGGCTAACCCTTAGTAATAATGTACCATCTTCCCTTCTGTCCATGCAAATGTAAAATCAGGACACAGGCAACAAAAAGCATTATATTAGGAATGCAAGTGCACCACTCTGGTGTCGTTTTTTATGGGGAAAATATTTGATTCAATAAGCATTTGTAACATTCCCCTGCATTAGTGTTCTGCAGTGATTTCTGCATGGAATGACTTCACTGAAAGGCAGAGGAAAAACTGTTTCTACAGGGAAGACAGGGTAGATTTCATTAAACACTAACTTGATACTGACAGTACAATAGTGCTAGTTGTCTTGGACAATTTCTCTTCTGTCACAACATTTTAAAGCTGGTGTTTTGCTCAGCACCCTGCCCTCCACGCTGATACAGCAACACGTTATTGACAGACTACTGCAAGGCTCTGCAACACACACAGGTAATGGCAGGAACACAAGCATTGCCTCACCATGCTTTGGTTAAGGGCTGTAGCACAGTGCAAAGTACTGTGAACTAAACCTCCTGCCATTAATGATGTACTACAGAAGACAACAAGTGCTTTCAATCTACATTTACAGCATTAGTTCTTCAAATACATAGAAGCACCAGCAACACAAACTTCCCTTTCTTCAATGCTTCCTATCACCCTCAGTCTCCCCTTACTCTTAGCCTTAAACACGATTTATTCTGCTGCCATGTAAAGAACACCACAGTTAAATTACTGCTCAGTAATTTACGTATTTGCTCTGTCACTTTCTGTTCCAAAACAGAAACAGAGCTTGTGCCTCAGTCTCTAGATAGGTTAGCTGTGGAAGGGAAATCACTTCTGCTTACTTAACTGAGGGGAAAGGTGCAATAGTGGGAGAGGTGACATCAACACCCAACACTAACAGAGTCAGAGCAAAAGATCTCTCTCCATTTCCTTCTCATATTTCTTTTCTTCTCTCCCATAATCTCAATTAATAATTTCTCAATTCGTGCCACTCCCCTCTTTCTCCTTGTTTGCATCTGCTAGCCCTGCTCAGTACCTTAAGAGCTCTCAGCCAGATTTCCTCTTGCTCCTAGCAGCAAGTATCCAGCATTGCTCCTCATAGCTGGTACCAAATGACATGGGACCTTGCCAAGTTGAAAGCAAAACAGAAGTTTTAGCAGATTGTCACATCTCAGTCTCCTACGTAGATGAGCAGTTCATAGTCACTGCTACTTCCCACCCATCCACCATTTTCTTAAAATTATGGAGTAACGTTGAATGTGAGGAGACTCTGAAGGTCTCTGAAGCTCCACAGACATTACAGGAGACTGACCAGAACACCTTCACACTTTCATATCACACTACTATGACACACTGTGATCTGAGTGCTTAAAGCCCTGCTTCTCATCTTAAGAAGTTCTGCACAAACAGAAGGATCAGTGTCTTGGACAGTACTTGGGAGGGACTTGGGCTTAAATCTCTGCTCTGTCACAGACAACAGGAAGTCATTTAAGCCAAGAATTCAATAACTATCAATTTAGATAGACATTCTGACATGTAGTCTTTTAATGAACTACTGAAAGACCCAGCAGATGGTTCAGTAACTCTGATCTGATATTCAATCAGATAAAAAGCCTACAGAGGGGCTCTTAAACATTACACAAAGTAAAGAAATATTCACTTAGTCTCCTCAAGGAAAATATCTCTAGCCTGCTTTCATGCTCTGGAAAAGTTCCACTGAATATTTTGTCTCCTAAACACATTACTATCCGTGGTCATTCTGCCCTCTAGTTCTCAACTAGAAAAGCAGAGCTACTAACACTTCTCTGCTGTCACAAAAGAGTAGTGAGACCAGATGGATTTGTATGACAGCAACGGCCCCTGCAGGCACCAGGGATGAATATGAGACAGCAATCCCCAAATGTATCCATCTAACCTTCACCAGCAGCAACACAAACCAACTTCATTGTGATTCCTCAATCATTCCTATGCCTCATGTTACAGAGAGATGCAAGTACAGAGAAGTGGAAAAAATGACACAGAGGCCTAGAAGTAGAACAGAAATTGGAGCTTACGCTGTTCTATTTAACCATGTAGCTGCTTACATACAGGTAATATTTAGAAACCAAATTACACAAAGAATGTGATCATACATATATAGGATGCTTAATGGTGTAAAATCTCAAATTGCAAAGGAGACACAGGGAAACTCAGGAAATGCCATAGAGATCCCATCTCCCCTTCTCTAGCTCTGTGGGTCAAAAAGAGGTGTCTCAGGGAGAGGTGTCAGGAGCAGCTGGGTGCCCTCTAACCCTCCTGACTGCCGTGTGTTGAGCATCCTCCTCCAACCCTTCTGGACTTTGGGCAACTTCTCTGCAGTGCCTTAAGAGCAGAGGTACATCCTTTGTATATGTTACGCATGTTCCACATAACCAATATCGAGCCTGTATCACAAACACCAGGAGGTAAAGCCTCTCCCTGTATATAATCCATTCTGGATGCAAACGTGGTGTTACTGTTCTGACAGCTTCCCAACAACCTTCAGTCAAAACCCAGAATAAGGACAAAGACACTCAAGAAAGACCAACAAGACATGAGCAGCATCAAGCATGGAGGGATTCAGAAGAGGAAGGAAATTGGTGAAAAAATTTCAAACAGCTTTTCCCAGTGTGATGCTGTGCGTGTCTGCAGGCCTGCTAGTCTTAAAGGGAAAAGTCATCACATCCCCCCCAAAAAAAAGATCACAGGGAGAAATGTTTGAGAAGCAGCAAATTAAGAGTTGGGTATAAATCCAGACAGAACGTGAACTTTGTTCTGGGCTGATACTGAAGGCAGTGCTCTGGAAACCCAGGGACAAAATATATCTGCTCATTCAGGCTGAGTAGCCAGAGGCAGACAAGCCTGATGCTAAGCTGTGTCATTGCTTGAGTCCCCTTTGCTACAGAAACCAACATACCCTAATCATGAAATCCCACTGGGCTTCAGGCTTCATCTTCAACTCAAAAAGGGGACGAGTAGCAGGACTGAGAAAAGATAGAAAAGATGGCTAATTACGTCTCTTCCTACCTGAATCACCCTACAGTCTTGTGAAAGGCAAAAAAACCCAAAAGGGACAAGAAAATTGGGATGCGCTTCCTGTATTGTCTCAAATACTTCTGGCATTGTACAGATATAAAAAATACGTGGTAGCAGCACGCTTCCAAAGGCCAAGCAGAAACAAGCCACTTCTGCGGGGTGCTACGAGGGAGGGAGAAGCGGAGTGGGGCCGGTCGCAGGGACACCCCGCCCTGCCGGGGCGGGACGAGCTGCCAGCAAGGAGCCGAGGCGTGTAAAAGCGAGGAAGAGGGGTGAGTAGCACGGAACGACCAGCCGGGCTGAGCTGCTGAGACGGTGAGTGGGGCTGGGGGGGCTCGGTGGGGCCTTACTGCTGGTTGAGGTACCAGGGAAGGGCCAGAGCTGAGCTGAGCTGAGCTGTTTCATTCCATTCCACAGGTTGCAGTGGGAGTGCACACGAGCAAACGTCTGAAATGGCATCTGAGGTGAGGGCAAACTTTGCTTTTCCTGCCGGTGCTCTGGCAAATGCAAGCTCAACTTTGTTACAGTCTAAGTCTCTGCAGCCTGCAATTTCCTTCAGGTTCCTCCCCTTACCTCGGAGAGACTAATTTAATGCACTGGTGCACTTCACTCAGGCCAGCTTGTGCTTAGGCAGATACTTTACAAAAGCTTGTGTAACAACTTCTATATACAAAAGCTTCATTTTCAGTTTTGCGCCTGGTGACTAATTGTCTTAGCAACTCATGCCTTCTGCCTGCAGAGTGGCTACTGCAGCCCTGGCTTCCTCAGCTCTGGTTACAGATGAGCGTCCATCAGCTGTCAGTCTGTGCTAGCCTGACCAGAGTTCAGTAGCTAGCTAAAGTTAATCCTTCTGTTTTGCTTTCCTGACTGCAAATGTATCTGTTGCAGTTTCTGCTGACCCACCTCTTACTTCAGTGGAGCCCCATAGCACAGAAGATATGCCTAAGACAGAGCAGTTCCTCATTCAGGCACTTACCATCTGGTACTGGCTTTTGATTTTACATCCCTATGCCATAGTTCCATGGGCACTGGATCCACTGAGGACCTCTAACTTTTCCTTTCAGATTCTGATTTTTCTTTTTACCTCCCTTCAGCTGGCTGACAGAGCTGCTGTAAAGATGTGAAAAGAGCTACATGCAACACTCACCTCTGTAGGCTTTCTCTTGCTGTCCTCTCAGACACGTTGTTTCAGCAGGGATTGGCAGAAATGTGGAGACAGTCACTAGGGAAAAAAGTTTCCAGGGTTACTCAATAGTATTTTGTCTGACTGATAAAACCCCAGCACAGATCAGTTTGCAAATGTCTTGGCCAACTTTTTGCTGTCCATGGTAGTTACAACCATGAGAAAAGACTGACAGGGGTACTTAAAAAATCATACAGATTAGTGATTATTTTGCAATCTGCAATGGTGAATATATTTAGACCCTTCCTTTAAATATTCTCCAATTTATTCTTTGTGCCTGCTGGAGAGCTGCTTTTGAAATCTTGGATTGGTTGTAAGCTTTCTGCACAAGTAACATTCCTATCTATTTCCAGTTTGCCAGAGCTAGGGCTTTAGGAGGCATCCTACCCAGCAAAGATCTGACCAAGTGTCACACATGGCTCGTAGTGAATCCATTCAGTTGCTAAATCACTGATGCAAAAGGTTTAGATGCATAGTGTCATGATGTGTGGCAGGAATTACGTACCTGTCTTTGGTCAGTGAAGTAATTAGGTAGATGACCTGTTGGAGGATGTGAGATTAGAAAATCAGTCTGGTTTGAGTAGAAAAACAAGTTTTCTTCTTACATATTTTAAAATCTTCTTTGTGTTCTGACTTACTTTTTTGGACATTCCTGATGCTGAAAGGTATCCAGAGTTCTAGAGTCTGCACCTTAGCTGATTTGATGCTAATTTTATGGCAAAGCTTGCAAGCACATCCTGGACTCTGGAGGTGCCTAAACAGTAACTTCAGTCACTTGATATGTGGCTTATGCTGGCCCATAGCTATTTGTCAAACACAGAAAAATCTGTCTCTATTAAACAACAACAACAAAGGACTGCACTGAAAGAACATACCTGAGCTTGATCTCTATATTTCATAAAGTTCTCAGTGGAAATTACATAGTTCTTAAAACTATAAATGAAGTTATTAGGCCTCTTTGATTTGCCTCTTCTTCTCTCTCAGGGAGATAAACTTTGGGGGGGAAGATTCAGTGGAAGCACAGATCCCATCATGGAGATGCTCAACTCTTCCATTGCCTGTGATCAGAGACTATCTGAAGTTGATATCCAGGGGAGCATGGCTTATGCCAAAGCCTTGGAGAAGGCTAGCATCCTAACCAAAACTGAGCTGGAGAAGATCCTGAGTGGCCTGGAAAAGGTACTTATTTCCTTCATAAACTGTAATGCATGCTCAGGCCTACATACAATTCCTACATTACTACTATGATGAATAGCTCCTTGTCTGAAAATATCCCTGAGTTGACACACTAAAAAGCATCCTTCTCTCTCCTCATGTCCTATTGCTTTTCCCGTGTGAAAGTGCTTTCCCAAAAGGTCCTAGACCAGGGAGAACTGGAGAGGCCTGTATTTTGCACTCTGTACTCTTGTACTCTAGCAGACCTGGACACAGACTGATTGACAGATTCCATCTAGCTAAAGGTACCGAAGCCAGGCAGTAGGATATCAACCAGTTGACAAGCCAGAAGGGAGAACCTGAAGCCCCAGTGAGTGCATTGTGAATGCTCACTATGGAAACCTGGTGCCTCTGTGAGGTGTGCTCAGCATGACCTGCCC